TGAGAAACTCCCGAGCGCCAACGAATCCGTCGCGAAAAATCATTTTCACTCAAGGAAGGAAGCCTCAGCAGCCCTTTTCTAAAATACTGTAGTGAATCACAAAAAGGGCACTTCAAATGAAGCAAAAAGGGATGGGGTTCGTTTCTGGTTGGGAGACCTTGACGACATTCGGCCACTGCTGGCTCACAAATCGCCCCTGTGTCCCAGAGGTCTATGTGATGAAGCGTGAAAACACTAGAGAAGAAAGACGGTTGCTGCTTCAGTACGTGACCGACTACCAAAGTGTGACTAAATCACAAACTTCAGTGAACGACAGTATAAATGAGTGAGAGACCATTTCTATGTGATGAAGCGTGAAAACACTAGAGAAGAAAGACGGTTGCTGCTTCAGTACGTGACCGACTACCAAAGTGTGACTAAATCACAAACTTCAGTGAACGACAGTATAAATGAGTGAGAGACCATAGAGCCTGTGACTGAAATTATAATGTTCGGAGACACAAGATTAATCTGAATTGAAGTTGAAGGCAGCAACAAATTTCAAGAACAGTGTTCAAACCTTCTTAAGCCAAATTTTTAGAGACCTGTACAGTATATAAAAAATTGACAGGTTTCAACTTGAGGAGGTTATTAGTTATAGAAACAAGCATTTTTGCTATAGGAAACTGGAGGAATTGCAGGAAATTAGGTAAGTGATATTATGGACCTTAAATTGCTTCTCAAATGAGTTGATAGGATGCTGAACTTGGAGGCAAGGGTTTATTTGCCCCATTAGTCTTTCACTTCCTTTAAAAATGCATCAACTTACTTTTTATTGTTCTTCTCTTTTGTGTATCAAGAAACTAACAGCCAAAAGGCCTCAGAAAATTTGATTTATGAAAATTCTAGAAGAAAAGTCTTTGCTTTAGAGAGGTTATACATTGTTTTTAAGGGAATTCAAACAAAGACAAGGAGAAAAATTCAACTTATGGAGGTTCCAGGGTTCCACTTATTCAGGTTAAACTGTATGGTCTACAGTTCTACACAACTGGACTCTCTCTCTCAATTGATTTTATCAGCATAAAAAATTATTTTGTCCAGGGTTGGTTCATGTGGCATGACACAGTTAGGTTTGTTATGCGGGTACAGTAGTTTTTTTTTTGGGGGGGGGGGGGGGGGCAAGGCACCTTGGAAAATACTGTACTGTAGTAGGTGATCCCTCTGAAAGGGTGCTGTCACAGCATGATGACAATGTTGTGCTGGGTTCAGCCAAGTATGCAAGGAGAACAGCCGATTCATGATACGGCTTCCATACAGTGCATGACGTTCTTTTTTTTCCATATGGGGACCAGTGAAGGTCGTCGGCTCAAACGACTCCGGTACCTTGTTGGAAAGATGATAGGAGGGGAAGGGACGAGTCTGACTTGAGGAGACTACACGTGCCGCCGGCCTCACCCTAAACTACTACTAGCCGCTCTATATACATGACATGATGGCATGAAAGAGAGAGAAGGTAAGGGAGAGAGAGTAGGAAAGAGAGAGAAAGACCCTCTGTGAGAAAGACGTTTTCTCTCCCGTTACCAACTGAACTTCGGACTAGGAGTGAGATGCTTTAGAGTTGGCCTCCTGATTTGATGCCCAACCAAACGTGTCTTGCTGATACTGTACCTAGACCTAGAGTATGTCTGTTTTATTGATTCCACTACTTGTGGACTCCCCTTACAACAAAATTCAAGGGGCCAGAAAAATAATTCTTTATAGGAAAAGTGTTGTGGATAACTCTGGAAAGATGAAGAGAGAATCCTGTGGGACAAAGAAAAAAGTTTTATAGGGAAAATCTTTGTAGGCAAGATTGTTATCGTTGCAGAGAGAGTGAACCTGTATTAGTACAGTATTAAAAACTAATCCACCTGCTTATTCGACACTTCATCAAACCATTTGTAAACAAGATATTCATACGTATTTGGTTGGGCTTTCAAATGATTATCGTATAAGTTGGAAAATAAGTTCGTGTGACGAAATTTAATCCATAAACATGCATGCTGAAAGTCNAATTTAATCCATAAACATGCATGCTGAAAGTCAACAGGAATAAGTTGATTTTGAACTTCAGAATTTATGGGTGCAGCATAATCAAGAGATCAACAGACAATTTTGATATCCCCACAGAAGGTGCAGATTTAAAGATCATATGCTTTTTTCAGCCACTATGAAGACTCAGTATTTCTTGGACAGCTTTCGAAAAGTCTATAAATTTCTTATGTCAGTATTAATCAGTATTAATAAACACGAATTTCACGTAAGCGAATCGATAGGTATCTGAAAAACAAAAGTCACCTAAACGTGCGCTTTTAACCTAAAATATTCGAGACTGATCTTGTGAAATAGATGTCGCTGTATGCATACAAGTGGCATGTTCGACCAAAAAGGACGAGGAACAAGAATGCCGTGCCGTATTATGCTGAGATATTTGGAGTCCTTCGCATTTGTTTTTAGTTTGTTTAGGTCTTGCACGAACGCTTTTCTATTCTATGTACGGGTAAAAAGGATACTGTAGTACGTTTCGAAGACGGTAAAACAGTTCCAATCTCGTTAAAACGAATTCTAGGAATACCCAGCAAAAATATTTGTTTAATCGATATCCTGATAAGAGAATTGGACACATTTTTTCTGAACGCGAGCTAATTTCCTTAAAATCTGAGTTTTTTGTTGTTGTTGTTGAAGAAATAAGCATTCAGTTTTGTACAGTACATAAAAAATGAACAAGTTTTCTGTCATAATGATCATACATTTCTCACTCCAGCGAGGATGGTAGGATATTTTTCCAGGATAAATCAAGTTCTTCGTTCTAATGACAACCTTATAATGCAAATTGCGAAAATTTCAGGAAATTTGCAATTTGTTTTACTGAACGAAGAACATTTAAATCAACAAAATACATTTTTAAATTTTGGTTATAGAGTTCTGGCTGAGAACTTCACGAATTTCGTTTATTAGAAAAACTCATTTTTTATACTGTACGGTAGTTGACTTTGTCTTATACTGTGATAATATTCTCATATATTTTCTATGCATTCATACGAGGATCCAATAAATGCCAAGCAAAATCGCAATATTACTGTATAAGGAAGGAGGCATTGCTTGGTTAGATGAGATTATTCAAAATTGTTGCACAGAAGGTCATTTCAATCTCCACAATCACCAGACGAAATCCAGGTCGACAAAATGAAGCACACTTTTGAATCAAGGAATATTTTTTATTGATAGATCCGTGGTCAAAAATATTAGAGTTAGGTGAAGTTATCTATTGTTCAAGTATTACTATTTACGACGTGCTGACCAGCCATCTTGACGCAATTGTGAAAATTTCAAAAGCACAATACGATTTTTGACCTAATGAACTTTTTGCGTCCCTTTTTTGCAGTGTATTAAGTGCATAAACATTTTGACATTGTGATGCGGAAAACATTATACAGCAGTTGAAGCTTGTTAAACCGCCAACGTTTGTGCGGCATGATTTTGGCGGTTTAATGAGGGTGGCGGTTTATGGAGGTTGTGGTGAAAAAAAGAGTAAAAAAAATAAATACTGACATAAATATTTTTCCTATACCCAAATGTTTTCAGGGTGGAAGATGAAACTGCATAAGTATTTCATAAAAAAATAATTCAAACACAAAGAAAAAAAATGGTAATAAGTCAAAGACAAAGTGACTGCGTTTAATGTTTTGCTTCCCATCCTTTATATGCTTTCCATAATTTCAATTAAGGAATTTTCAAATTTCCTGGGCCTCTGGAAAATCAATCAAGATTGGGTATAAAAATTGCATATCAAGTGAAAAACCAAGTTTATTAAGATTAAACGTATTTATTCAACTTTTTGTTGTGCCAAAGGGTTTTCATTCTCCAAACAGGAACCCTTTCAAATAATCACTCCAGCATTTCCAACGCCTGTTTGGGGTTCCACAGTGACATGTGTTCATATTAGGGGAATATTCCAAAGCTGGGCTTAGTATCATATTCTGTAATTATTGCAGTATAATAAAGCTGATTTAATTTATGTGTGAGTGTTCAATGTTGCCATTTGCATTTTGGTTGCTACAGTCATAAGAATATAAGTGTTTTTGTATTGAAGCCATACAGAAAATGTTTTAAATGTGCAAAATTTCCTTTTTATATCATTCAGGGCACCCAAAATCTGAGGCATCTGAATAAGAAACAAGTACCCTACACTCCTGTCACTCAAGTTGTTTCACTCAAACTATATACTGTATATATTCAACTAAACTCCCCGAGTCGAACTTTTTTTATAATCTTGGTCTGTATTCCCGTAGAAACAAGCAAACAACACATAAAACTCTTCTATACCTTGAAGGCTTTTCCTCTCAAACCTCCATAAATTGAATTTGCTGATGAATTTTGGAAATTATTTTATTTGAACAGGAAATAGAAAAGCAATAAAAAATAACTTGATGGGTTTTCTGAGGAAGTGAAAGGCTAATTGGGCAAAGTAAACCCTTGTCCCCAAGTTCAGCATCCTGTCAACTCATCCAAGAAGCACTTCAAGGCCTATAATATCACCATTTACAATTGCCTGCTATTCTTTCATGTTTGTCACCAGAAAAATTCTTGTTCCAATAACTCAGTATTTTTTTTATCCCTTGAAATTCCATTCAGAGAGGTTCCACTGTATTTGAAGTTTTGTGCTGTGCATGGTAACGTTGGGTTCATGCATAAAAGAAGTCCGTAAGAAAAGTCTCATCTTAGCAATGCAACGGTTTCTCATCTCTTGCTTATTACCGCTGCGATTTCTCCCGCATTTAATTTGGTTTCGAAGTCGACAAAGGATTTCTGGATCAACTGCATAACGTTGCCATTTTTTTCACTGAAAAAAGGAACACGCTTTCACAACTGTTATTTCAGGTTTTGAGAATTGCTGATTGTAACCTTGACATTTCGCTAGATCACCTAACAATAGAAAAATCTGTAAACGCGATGATGATTATGTCAATAATAGCAGAGAATGCAGAACCAATCAAATTTTATTGACACATTTCGTCCTGAACAATAACAATAAATAATATGCAGTGGTGCCCTTCAAACTGATCGGGGAACACGAAGCTCGCAATGCTGAACCACGGTGAAATCAGAGTCATTTCAGAAACGGCTTTCCTCGGCGAATACAATTTTTTCCATCGCCTTAACGAGAACAATCTTTGTACAGATCGTCAAAATGCATTTTCGGAATTCGCTTCGGAATATTTTCGTAATTTGTTCCGTGCTTCGTTATCAGGGCTTTTTTTTTTCTCGCTCGGCCGAACATACACGAGTGCATCACAAACACAAACGCGCAAACGATGACGAAAGATAAACTTCTCATGACACGGAAAATAAACCCAGAGACATGCCAGGAATAAAAAAAAAAGTCTTATTCAATGACGCGGCAAAGAGAAAAAAAACTATTTGTCCATTTTCTTCGGCGAATGGTACAGATCAATATTCGCCAACAACAATTTTGCAAGATCACTGGACGGCCACGTCATACAGTCAACTTCCTCGTCCTTATAATTGAACAAAGACAGCATTTGAAAAGGTTTAATCAAGAGAACCTCGTCTGAGGTTCACTGAAGATAATAAAAGGCCATGTTCATGGGAATAAACCATACTTCTGTAGCTGCTCAAGAGCTCATGCGATTTCATGTGAAAATTCATGTTTTCAGGGTTTCAAAATTCATGTTCGCGTTCACTGTGAAAATATTTACACAGCGCTTGGCATCCCTGCATTACTACAGTATGAATTCATTAAAAATTTTAAATCGAAAAAATTGATAGGGCCCTGCCTATACTACATCTCATAAAATCAGCAAGATGAACATGTTCGAGGAAACAATACAGAAGTGGTCCAGATAGTCAATCAAATTTATAGCTCGTGTCAGTTTCCGCTGTCAGTTTTTGTAATAAATGTTTGCATTTGTGGCCTATGTTGAGGTATCTTCGTCTGCCCTTTTGCATATAAATCTTAATGGCCACAAATTTTGTTACTGAGAATTTGTACGCTTCATTGAATGCGGAGGGCGAGCATGGAATTTGTTGAGCTCATTAAAAATTAAATTTTTTGTCAATATGATAGATATTCAGTACGATGGAATGGGAGAAAATGGGAAGATCTTCACATGAAAAATTCTGTGCTTAACAGAAGGCTTTTAAAAATTTGTTTCCCCAACATTAATAGGAAATTCAAGGAATTTTTTGACAGTTACCGCGTTGAGTCTTGATTGGGCGTGATGTTAATGAGTAGACTTTTTTTTAGATTATTATCCCGAGGAAATGGATAATTTTCCCATGACTTTCACGTATGAAAATTTCCATGTTATGCGAACATGATGAGCAAACTTTATTTGGCACTCTGTCCCTTTCTATCATGCTCAATTTTGTTGAATGCATTTTGTATGAGGTTTGTGGGCTACTGACGGGGAACCAAAGAGATTGCTATAATGGCTAGAAGAAAACACTACTTAATTAAAGAACTGACAATTATTGGACGAATTGTTAGGAATATTACTCTTTTGGACTCGAAACCAAAAATCCCTCGGGTACTCGATTTTCCCCCTGCCTTCCCAGTGTAGAAAAATCAAGGCTCCAAAAACTAATTTTCACGGAAATTGGTTTTGTTGGAATAGTGATGGAAAACGAGGCTATAAACTGCAGAACTATAGGAAAGAAGACTGAAGACGTAAAAGCAGTCGGCTCATTCATCTTTGATCATCTTGCGCTTTAAATCATTTGCTTTAAACTTTTCTCTGCTGTACGTAGCGAATTTTTTTTTGTTTTAGTGTCTGTTTCTTTTTTCACCGGAAAAGCGACCAGTGCTGGTCGAGGTTTCTCCAAGAACAGGAATAATCAATGGACAAATTGCCCTGTTTGCTGATCCCCATGGCAGCTTCGTTGCTGGCAGCCCGGTTGTAACCCGATCCGCTGGATTCCCAGCCCGAGTCCGAGTTCTGGGACGATCCGAACCCCTTGGGACAATTCCCGTGGATTATCTTGGAGTCCTCTTCTTTGATCCCGGCCCCGATTGGGTCTTCTTCTTCCAGGTCCCTCGAGGCTTTCCGGTCGTCCACAACCGTGACCTCTTCCGGTGTTCGAGGGCCCGTGCTCCATAAGGAACTCAGCAATCGGTACCTGTTACGTGAGCACCTGCAGGGCATACGCAGCTCATAAATCCGACGCCTTTCGACCACTCGATAAATCACACGGACAACAAGTACTTCGATTCCCAGCACATTAATCAACGAACCGCGTCAAGAATGCCGACAGACATTCAGGGAGGCCAACTATATCTGATAAAATACCCTGACAGAAATTATGAAGTGGCCTGGGTAACACACGTTGAAAGAAATACAGGTGCTGGAGTCTCTCTACAACGACTTTCTCTGTACAACGAATTTTTTTTTTGCAATCCCATACGGTACTTTTTCCATTCTGTAGGGAATCACTAGTCTGTAAGACAGAATTCTCTCAACAACGAAATTTTTGCTCGTCCCTTGAGTTTCGTTGTAGAAAGAGTTCACCTTCATGCGGTACGTGACTTAATTTTAAGGGGTTTTCCAGTCATAAATTTTTTTTTGGTTTCAGTAGGAGATCAAGATCAAGATCTCCACGCAATAATGTTGATTTCAAAGTTTCGCTCGCTCAGGTTTAAATCGAGACAAGTTAGAGAATTGCTGGGGCTCCTCATTGCTGTGAGAAATTGCGGTATTATTGAAAGACTCTCTGTGCAACGATTTTTTTTTGTGGAACGATAGGCTTCTTCACACATATTACAGGGGTTCTCGTCTACAACGAATTTATTTCTGGTCCACTGAATTGCGTTGTAGAGAGAGAGAGAGTCCACGTGTATTAAAATTCCACACGTGTATCTTTCAGAGAATTTCGAACATAATTAGTGCTACCAAAATGTTTTAAAATTTTTGAAATATTTTCCCCAGGAATTTCAAAGACAATCACAGTTACTCTGAGATCCGTGCTCCGACCATCTCCGCATTTTAAATTCGGAAAAATGCCGAAGGGAGAATGTTGCCATAGAATTCCAGGAGGTGAGCATGAAGATGCCCAAGTTTACGCTATAATTTAAGAAAATTCTCGTCGAAAGATTAAATGCTTTTGTTGCTGATACCACGGCGATTTAAAGATTTCCGATTCCGAAATTTCTGCACTCAAAGAACATAATTTCACGGTGCTAACAAAACTTTTCAAGCGTCCGCCCTACATTTACATTAGGCTGATCAAATCGTACATTTAGGCCGATCAAAATGCAAAAAAAAAACCTACGTTCCAATGCTCCACAACCTATCACGTTTAAAACTGTTCGAAACCAAACAGAAAAATTGCCACTTGCCTGTGAGGAACAACTTTGCCTAAAAAAACAAGAAAAAAAGGTCTGCAATTCAACAGAAAATATCGGTCACGGCAACCAACCAACCGAGACCTCGGAGAGCAGCACACATTACTTTTTTTTTCTATCGAAGCGTACTGTGTTGAAAAATATAAAAAATAGTATCTCGAAACAACTTATCATTTCAGCTCGCACAGTACAGAAGACTTTTTTTCTGACAAAAGGGAAAATAATACATCCAGCGAATGTGATGATAGCTTTGGGCATTCTGCAACGTCACGACGCCATGGAAGTTATAAATCTCTGCCGGCCTAGTCCACAACTGCAGCTGACAATTGCGACAATAAAAAAGAAAAAAAAGCAAGAAAAGGCCAAGAAATTCGGCGTCATTTCGTGCTGGATAAGGACACTGTTCTAACCTGTCGAAGTAAACTGGCTTTCGGGCGTTGAATATCGGGATAGGCTTCTCGATACTGTGGTCTTGACTGAGCAGCATGTCAGTTTTCAATTCACAATTCATCGACAGTGGCCCTCGTTCGATCATGTCCAGGATTCGTCTCGTCCTTTCTTTCACATTTCTCGACTCCTGAAATTTCAAGAAGAAATCATCACAATAATTCGAAATGACAGATATCCAAAACAATTTTGCAAATAACGACATACAACAACCTGTAAAAAATCACCCAACAGATTTATGCAGAAAATTGCTTTTGTCCAGGAATAAATATATGTTTCCACTCCCAAATTCAATCACGGGCTCCTTTCTCATATATGCGCACAACCCAATTTTTCGAATTCGTTTTTATTCTCACGAAAACTCTTATTCTTATTTCACAATCAAAGAGAAAAGACCTTGCANATTCCAGGAGGTGAGCATGACGATGCCCAAGTTTACGCTATAACTCAAGAAAATTCTCGTCGAAAGATTAAATGCTTTTGTTGCTGATACCACGGCGATTTAAAGGTTTCCGATTTCGAAATGTCTGCACTCAAAGAACGTAAATTTCACATTGCTAACAAAACTTTTCAAGCGTCCGCCCTACATTTACATTAGGCTGATCAAATCGTACATTTAGGCCGATCAAAATACAAAAAAAAAACCTACGTTCCAATGCTCCACAACCTATCACGTTTAAAACTGTTCGAAACCAAACAGAAAAATTGCCACTTGCCTGTGAGGAACAACTTTGCCTAAAAAAACAAGAAAAAAAGGTCTGCAATTCAACAGAAAATATCGGTCACGGCAACCAACCAACCGAGACCTCGGAGAGCAGCACACATTACTTTTTTTTTCTATCGAAGCGTACTGTGTTGAAAAATATAAAAAAAATAGTATCTCGAAACAACTTATCATTTCAGCTCGCACAGTACAGAAGACTTTTTTTCTGATAAAAGGCAAAATAATACATCCAGCGGATGTGATGATAGCTGTGGGCATTCTGCAACGTCACGACGCCACGGAAGTTATAAATCTCTGCCGGCCTAGTCCACAACTGCAGCTGACAATTGCGACAATAAAAAGGGGAAAAAAAAGCAAGAAAAGGCCAAGAAATTCGGCGTCATTTCGTGCTGAATAAGGACACTGTGCTAACCTGTCGAAGTAAACTGGCTTTCGTGCGTTGAATATCGGGATAGGCTTCTCGATACTGTGGTCTGGACTGAGCAGCATGTCAGTTTTCAATTCACAATTCATCGACAGTGGCCCTCGTTCGATCATGTCCAGGATTCGTCTCGTCCTTTCTTTCACATTTCTCGACTCCTGAAATTTCAAGAAGAAATCGTCACAATCATTCGAAATGACAGATATCCAAAACAATTTTGTAAATAACGACATACAACCTGTAAAAAATCACCCAACAGATTTATGCAGAAAATTGCTTTTGTCCAGGAATAAATATATGTTTCCACTCCCAAATTCAATCACGGGCTCCTTTCTCATATATGCGCACAACCCAATTTTTCGAATTCGTTTTTATTCTCACGAAAACTCTTATTCTTATTTCACAATCAAAGAGAAAAGACCTTGCAATGCTCGTGTTGACAATATTTCCCTCGAGAAAAGCATGGAATTTGCCATGCCCCCCATAAAAATCCACGGAATAATGGCATTTTTTGTCCGAATATGGCCAGCAAGTTTCCCGTCTCAAGGATTTTACTGCCATTTGGATTGAATTGCCAAAAACTCGAACTGCAACTAAGCAAAAAATGTGCAAGCTTTTCTCTTGCAGACCTTGCCCATAAAATTTAACGCATTTCACAGAAACAACCTTTGTTCGACGAGCCAGGGCGGAAAACTAATCTTCAACAAAACAATCAATTTTTAGAATACTCGGCTTGCAATTGCTTATCAAAGAGGTAAATACTTCTGCTCGCTGAATTGTCAAAGAAATATTATACTCTCAAAATTTCCAGCAAGGAAAAAGGCGTATAACACAAAAATAAAATCAGGAAGCCATGGCTACCACCAAGGCCTCGCCAAAGTTGGATCAAGTTAGAAAAAAAAAACACACCTTTAAGAAACAAGTGTTGGAGTTTTAAAAAAAAGAAGGAAAAGAACCACTCAGACTTCTACTCTCACAAAAGCATTACTTAAGAAAGCAGAAAGAACAAGTTCAGAGGAAATAATAGTGCCAATTCAACTGCGGTCGAAGACCACGATTCAAACCGATGAAACCTCCTCTGACATTGCAAAAGAAAGAGTGAACCGTCTCGTGATTTGAAAATACAGCATTGTGAATTTCAGAAAATAAACTTCAACAACTTATATTCATTTCGAAAACCGCATCCACATCCTTGCTTATTTTATTGCGTAAAATAAAATAGTAACTGCACATGTTCAGGTTATATTTCTATACACAATCATGAATGAAACCTCAAAAATATTCATGGATATCATTCGTGATACTGTACAGTCCTGCCTTCTAAACCAGTACCTGGAATTTTACTTTTGGCTTGAATAAGAGCAATTCACTCGACTATGCGAGAATAAAAAAAAAAAAATAAGGAAACTCCCAGACATGAGAGAGAAAAATACTGTAGCTTCAACTGTAAAATAGCAACTGCGGAAATGCCATTATTGTATTCTCACGCTGAGATCATGCCGCAAGGTCAGATAAAATATTATTCAAAATTTCTTCCGGCTGTAGGAAAAGCTTGGCGTTTTCAAAGACCTTCGATTTGCACGCCGAACATTCAAATTAGCGGAAAAAATGTGTTTAAATCATAAACTCGTCGAAGAATGAGAGACGGGAAAGACATAGGGAGTACAAGTAGCGATGAAATCGGAAAATGGAAGTCCTCCAATTTCAGTTTACCTCGTCTATCTACAAGTTATATTCAAAATTGACTCTCTACAAAACTGCTTCCTGGAAACCATTTCTTTTATATTTTCCCATACACTGAATGAGCTTTTCGTTTGATAAATATGGAATTCTAAATTGAAAAAAATCCATTACTCCAGTCATTCGAGAAAATATGAGACAATGTTTCGTTGGTTTAAAAAAAGGTTTTATGCTCAAAATTGAACACAGCTATTTTTGGAAGGATTTCTTGAACGGGTATTTTTTACGCGAAGAAACACACCACTGCATTCGTAAATTGGTTTTTGATGGTTGAGGGTGTTTTTTATAACGGTAGTTGTAAACCGGAGCACGAAAAATTATGAAATGTATACATAAATTTGAGTCAGATTACTGTGTTTCCATTTTTCTCACTTCAGTTCTTTTTATTTACACATACATCTCACTGGCACTGATTCAAGTGAAAAAAACACGTTTTTATTGGAGAACCACGCACACCTTTATTCGAGAAATTTCAAGAAGTATTTTAATGAGAAACTTTAACTCGGTTGCAATGTTCTCATTAGTATATTTTGGGGCGCAGAAATTTAAACTTTTTTCAGAGCTAGTTTTTTTTTAACAACAAGAGCCCTAATTCAAAAAAAAAGAAATGCAAATATAAGACGAGTGGAACGAAGTATATTTAATTTTAAATTTAAACTTTCTACCTCAATAGTATCCTGGTTTTAACTTGATATTTGAAGTCAGAAACAAAATTTTTAGCTGATTTATCGAGGTGATTGAATCGAATCAACGATCATAAAACTTGTACGAATGTGCAAAACTATTGAGTTGAAAGATTAAAAAATCTTGATTATCTTCTCTTCTTGACCATCGATTTTCTTGTACAGAATATCTCGGAACATATAAAATAAAAATTTGGAAGACTAAGCGTTCTTACACAAGGGGTTCACTTGAGAAAAATAAATTTTTTTACAGACTAAGACTTTCCAAAATATTCTAATGAAAAAATTTTTTTTGCATACCCAATGCTCAGGTCCACGTTTGGCAGCCTTCGGTGGCCAACTCCTGTCCCAGTAGTCCTGGTCTTCCGGACATCGCCAGAAGCCATCATCAGTGGCCCTGTTGTGCGGACAGCAACTGCAGTGAGCATTGCCCAATTGTGGCCCAAAAACGGAATCCTTGGGCACTACAACATCCAGGGTGTCCCTGCGTCGCATTCGGGTCCTGGAATTGGCAAAGAACTCCTCTGTGTCTTGACGCAGGTTCTCGTGTCCGCGGATGTCGAGGCTGTAAAGACGCGTTGTTTTCCACCATCTGCCCACTTGCTGCTCGTCTGCTTCTGAGGAAAAAGGCAATGCGGCAATATGTAAATGAAATGACTGTACTGTAGGGGAAAAAAAAAGAAGCCTGCGATTTAAACTGAACCATGTGTGTGACTCGGGTTCATTAATGACCGCGGCGGGGAAAAAGAACCCGTGCCTGTGTGGTGCGTTCGCTGTTATGGGATACTGATTGATTTCCCTGCAACACGCGACTTGTGTGCCGCAAAAAGACAGAAAATCCAGAATTAAAAAAAAAACCAAGACAAGAGCAGTTAACATTTATTTCTCCAACAATACTAAGCGGGATACACGAGTTAAAACTCTTTTTTTCAACGATCTTATATTTTCGAATTTCGAATTGAAAGTTACCTTTAAATTAATTTTTATTTTACGTGCGTTAGCTTGATTTTTCTCCCCAAAAACAAGAAAATGAGCATGAATGAGCAAAACATTCGTTTTCCATAGTCCCATTTTTCTTTTTCAATATTTTAGAATTACTTTTCGCCCATTCAAACGGGTTTGTCCAGCTTAATTTATGCAGGAATTGAGGCATTGAACACGTCGATTTTGCAACTTTTTATATTCCTTTCCCTTTTTCCAAACTTGAAACTGTATATTTTCTGAAATGCCAAGACCGGGTATATCAATCTCAAAACACGAATGACGAAGAACAAAATCTTCAGAAGGTTTAATCCTTCAAAAATTATAACTGGTCGTATTCTTTTAAATTATACAAGGATGTAAAACGTAAAGAATTGAGTTACACACTGGTGAATAACTTTGTCCTTTTTTAAACTATGCATACAGCAAAATCCGGTGAAAAAATATGAAATATCCAAAGATGTTGGGAAATTCCAATCAACTGAACCACACTATTTTTCCTTTAAATACAGTACTTTGTGAGATGCGGTACCGCGTGAGTGTCAAGTATGCTTGATTCATTCATACCAGGAAAATACAATTCTATTCGTCGATTTACGTTCTGAATTTCCATGATCCACGCGAGGATTGGCATTCTTGCAATAAATTCCGCGAGAAAACCGTCAAGCCCAGTGACACTATCATAGAAACAAGTACTTGATACTAAAATCAGCATTTTCAGAATACAAGACGGAAATCTTGGGTATTTCCGGGTAGAGATACTTTTCCACAGCGGCAAGAAAAAAAAAAAGTTGCTACTCAAGATCATCGTCAGGCTCAAACGTCGTCATGCAATATTGTGCTGAAAAGCTGGTGTACTCTTCGTCGATCACAGTAATTCAGTTGGTACAAGGTACAGTATACTGTAATAATATCAAGTCAGTGATCATCCTCGGAACTTACTAAAGCCGCATCATTAGTCGCAAAAATGTTGACGCAACGTTTGATAAAACTTGGGCTTATGGTCGGTCGTATCAAGACAGTCCCCCCTTTGTCCGGGCAACAAGTTCCCACCATTTTATCGCCATGAGAACATCTCTTCTTACAGTCGGCGGCATTCTAAAATTAGCATTTACGGGTTCCGGAATCACAGAGCTTGTAAGCTCTGTGATTCCAATCTCGTTCATTCTTTTCTTTCCGGGTGAATCCGACCACGATGAGGAAGGACACGGCAAGAGAGAAGCTTCCGGCGCAAAGGTCAAAACCATGTCTGGCTGCTCTCGGTTCCTTCCCAATTATAATTTTTTTTCAATCCTCAATTATACTTGTACTGTACTTCAATTACGAGGGAAGGCAGGAGTTTAAATGCACCGCAGCCGAAATTTTACAGCATAGATCGTATTGAAAAAGTGAGGTATTTTTTAAAAATTTCCCTTCTATTTTTTCTTCTTCTCTAAATTCCCTATTTAATACAGTGCAGTCATTTCATTTAAATTTCGCCTCATTGTCTCTCTTCAGAAGCTTAAATCCGAACTGAGTCATAGATTTGTACAACAAGAATGATTGATTAGCTGAATTGTTTCATTACCAGGTTGAAAGTGCGAGGGACTTTTCAAGAAGCACACAGATTTGCGGACTGAAAACCGAAACCCATTCGAATAAGTATATTTCAACTCTTGAAAATCATTTCTAGAAATTATTTTATGTCAATACAATTAAAAAATCCGTCAAAGCCAGCTCAAAGAGACAACCCTTATCTCTTGAAAAACAGAAAAATTTTTCACGAGTTATGCGGTTGTATTTTAACAATAACACATTTTTATTAACTCGCTTTCTTGTCCGTTTGTTTGTCCGGATCAAATTTTGCAACTCAAATTTTGCTCACTTCCTGACTAGCTAGCAAGCTGAAACTTTCAGGATAGCTTAGAAACTGATGACAATGCAATCTTTTGTGAAAAGAAAAATTATAAGAATATTTTTTAAAAAGAATAAAATAATTATACAGTAGTAGATTAAAAAATTAATCTAAAAAACCATGTTTTTCAAGTAAGACTAAAAAGCACAAACAAATTTAGTAGATTAAAAAATTAATCTAAAAAACCATGTTTTGAAAAAGGAAAAAATAACCTTAAACGTGATGCGCATGGAGATTGTTGGGAAGAAGTGAAATACAAATGAAATAGATGCGCACCACGTTTAAGGTTATTTTTTCCTTTTTCAAAACGTGGTTTTTTAGATTAATTTTTAATCTACTAAATTTTTTTGTGCTTTTTAGTCTTACTTGAAAAACGTGGTTTTTTAGATTAATTTTTTAATCTACTATAATTATTTTATTCTTTTTAAAAAATATTCTTATAATTTTTCTTTTCACAAAAGATTGCATTGTCATCAGTTTCTAAGCTATCCTGAAAGTTTCAGCTTGCTAGCTAGTCAGGAAGTGAGCAAAATTTGAGTTGCAAAATTTGATCCGGACAAACAAACGGACAAGAAAGCGAGTTAATAAAAATGTGTTA